CAAATAAACTTGCCTTGCCCTGCCTAGTTTCTGCACCACAACAGAAAGGGCTGTTTTTGAGGAACACCTTGACTTCATTAAAAGTATGGTATGATGAATGATTTGGATAAAAGTTTACATCGTCGAATAGTTAATGGTTTACTAATCACAATTTACCGACCGAGTGCTGACGTCACCCAGTGTTCTATTTATAGTGTTATTGTGGAAGAAGGCGATTGCAACTCGCTCGTACAGGCTTCACGGGCAATAATCTGGAGCCAAATGAGTAGGTAGCAACAACCGAGCGACTCAAGAGCCAATCAGGAGCCGCACTGGTTTGTTTTCACTAGCGCTACTAACTGAAGCTGAATTTGGGGGCAGATTTATCCTGTGTGAGATCTATAAAGTCTATCCTATCTAGAAGGATCCTGATTGGTCGGTAGTTAGAGCTCATTTCTGGGTGTTAAGACCAAATCAAATGATAAACACCAGGATCATAGAGTGCAAGTTACTTTTCGAACTAAATGGCACTGTGGCAAGTGCTCTGGTGTGTGCCGTCTTCTCTGTCTGGTACACACTGGGGTAGCCTGGCCTTAGCCATCCGTACACTCCGCTCTATCATCATTTCACTGCATGTAACGTCTGGGTCTGGTCCCTGTGTTAGCGAATACAATCGATTGAATTTTGACCGACCAACCAGCGAGCGCGGAAGGCAGGTGTTGTAGTTTGTTGTGGGTGACGTCAAGAGTTTGCGTCGAACGGGAAGATCGTAGTTTGGCAATGGCAAAAAATGCAATAGTAAAGTAATCCGGTCTGGTTCTATCAAGAAATTGAAGCCGAAGCAATAGGAATGAGAAGCAAATGTAATCGCTAGAATAAATTGTGGCTCTACTCCCCACGGGCTCCGTTAGCAGCAAAGGAGATGGCAAGGCTAAATGATAAATGGTAACAACAGACTCGGGCGCACTACATACGCCACGGTAAACTCAGATCCAATCGTTTCAATCTGCAAAAAGGAGTTAACCCCTTCCACCTTGCGCAGTTTTTCCAAAGTGGTTTTACTGCAAATGGCAAATAAAATGAATCTGAATCCAAATGATTGGAGCCAAACTTTGATATTAGGCTAGCAACATAATATAGTCTATTGTTTTGGCCTTTAGTCATACACACACACAAAGTTGTAGAATACATAAGATTACATTCTAATGAAAACGACCCAACTAAGTAAGAAACCGCATCACAATAAATAGTCCGGACTCTTCCGAAATATCATAACCTTTATTTAAAAAAAGAAAAAACAACTAACAAATCAATATGAGTCAAAAGAACTCAACGCAAGAGTCGTTTTTTCCTCCATGTTTGTGCAGTGCGGTCCTACCTGTTCCCCTCCCAAACCAACATTGTTATTTAAGTCATAAAAAATACTCCTCTGTTCTATTTACATCGGCAAAATGCAGTCTCACCTGAATGTTCAACAAAATGCAACGTTTTCCTGTCCAAAAAGAAGAAAAGACAAACAAATGCACCCGTTATATTTACACAGACATTTACACGTAGCTCTTATCATTTCAAACAATATTAAAATAAACCTTTGAATAGTTACAAACGTGTATTTTTATTTTAATCTATTCGTCGTAAAGCCAAACTATTCACAAGTGCAAATTATTAGAACATTTGAATATATTAAAAAACAAAAAAAACTATTGATTGCAGCATCCAGCACAAGCCATTTCCTCGTTCTGATTACACTGGACGATCTGTGCAAATATTCTGTCAACATGAGTATTTCTGAATGCATTCATCTTGAAATAGTTTTTTTTTTTTTTGCCAATTTACGAGCAAAGACTATGACTGGTTTTTCAAAAAAAAAAAAGTGTCAACCTCAAAAAAGGAGATAATGTATTCTGTATTCTGCATTCAAGTCTTTGTCATCTAGAGTCCAGCAGCTAAAAACTACCACAGTGGGTCCTCACTAACTACCACGTGGTTCACTTTTTGCAGCCTCGTCGTTACGCAGACCTTTGCGTGTCCAATTGTGTAAAGCTTTATTATTATTTTTTACAACGTGGTTCTCAAGAGTTGCATGTATACAACATCAAATAACTGGTAGTACAACATGACAGTTCCATTTGTTTTAAGTCAGAAGAAAACATTTGTGGCTTGTCTGCACCTCCTCCTGTAGCCCTCAGCGCTGCTCCTGCCCTGCTCCTGTTTGATATCTTCAGCAGTGCAGAGTGCAGGTGGTCAGAGAAGTGTATGAAGTGTGGGGTTTTATAGCTGTTGTTACTTCAAGGATTTCACTTAATTCAGGTTATTATAGAACACAACACCCACGATAAATGAGGGACCACTGTATTGCAGAAGTCAACAGCCTTGACTCAGGCCTATATCAATGTATCAAGGAAAAACTGTAAAGGTAATACTTTGTCTAAGTCAAATGGTAACTCGGTCGAAAAATTAATTATTTGATGTCCTATTATTAAAGAATCATTGAGAATGGTTTTTGTTTTTTGCACTGCTCCGGTTTGAAAAATGATTTGGGCAATTATGCTAAGGGATAACAAATGATTATCACCCTTCTGTTATCCATCTGAAGGAGCACATGCCTTAAATACTAAATATACATGGCTTTTTTTTCAAATGATGCTAATACACTTTTTTTAGCCTATTTTGACCTTAGTCAGACAGCCCCAATGCAGAAACATACTACTTTGAGAAAACACACCATGCTCAAATAAAAAGGACCGCTTTTGAAAGTCTCAAATCAAGATGAATGTACTCAGAAAACAATCCTGTTATTTCCCATGGCTCTCAACATTAACCATGCACGAACCATTGTTCAAACAAATGTTTTCAGGAAGACTTTGAACATGAAGATGGAAGATTCACCATTTAAAAAATGTTGACTCGCTGAAAAAACTCAAAATCACAGGTAAAAATAACTTCAGAATCTTGATTTAACTCTTCAATGACATGTTCCAAATGTGGGGAAAAAGGAGGGAGGTCCTTTTTATTATTGCAGAAAGGGACTGAATTTTTTTTTTCTAGGTTGATTTAAAAAGCCAAAATTATGACTTTAAAATAGCTGAGGGCAGCAGTGTTAAAACTCCACAATCACATTTGTGGATTTCCTTTCAGGTAATCTTTATTTTCCTCGTGAATGTGAAGCATCATTTTCATGTTGTCCAATTGAATGTCATTGCATTGTTCACTATACAAGCCAGGGGTGTCTAAACCTTTGAGTAAGAAAGCCACTTTAGTTCACCAAACTTGTCCAGACTGTAAAACTGTACTGCGTTCAGTTTTAAATTGAGGTATGAAATGTGCAGATTCACATTTGACAGAGCTGAAGTTAGCTTAATGATAAAAGTTTACTTTCTATAAAATGTCCAACAATCATAAATAAGTGTAGGTCAAAGTCATGCCTATACTGGTGGAGCTGAAGTTGGCTGGATGATACTGTCAAATGGTAGCAATGGTGGCAAATGGCCATGAGCCAGACTAGGGACAGGCCTGATCTAAGCCAATCCAATCCATTCTGTGGCATTATCCCTGAGGTGCCATCACACCTCCGAGGTCAGCGTGAGTACGGGTCCATAGACCTCCTGGTAATTAAACCAGTGTTATGGCATTAACCATCTGGAACCTGCGGGTTTGGGAAGGACCGCAGTGACCGTAAATATAAATATAAACCACAGTCAGTCCGATGGAAATAGGTCTGCTCAAAGTTCTACAAGATCTCCTATCAAGTCGTCAAATCAAGATTCTGAATTCACAAAATCCTTTCCGGGAAAACAATAGAATGAGAAATGAGTGCTGAGGACGACAGTGGCTCATTAGGACGAGTGCTCTACTCTGCAAAGTTATCTGACTTCATTTCCTAATATTGGCTGTTGTGAACCCGTTAACAGCTCGTTTCCATACATTTTGAGGTTAATTCATTGTATCAAGAGCAAGTATACGCCAGAAGATACGCTCGGAAGATTATTGTTATTATTGACCCTGAACTAAGGAAGTACAAACAACTTTAGTTACAAAGAAAGAGCTCAATTTTAATGTTGCTTTTCCCAATGTAATAATTGCAATGTTTGTCATTTGTCACCTCTCCCAAGACATCAAATAACTATATATATAATATAATATAATATAATTGATTTCCGGCCATTGTCTTGCGTTGAATAAATAAAGATTGACTCCACACAATGTGCATTCGACTAAGAAATTTGAAGTGCAAAACGAAAATCAAAACATTTGCCTCAGCTGGTTATGTGCGTGAGACTCTAGAGTAAAAGTTTGCAACCATTGTCGTATTGCCAATTGATCGGAACAAATTCAGCCTCAACAGAAATGGAAGAACTTTAAAACCATGTCATGTGGTGTCAACTCTGAAAACTGGCTAGTCATTTTTAGCACACTGCAAAATGCCAACGGTAAAGAGTTGGTAAGCGGTTGGTAAGAGTTGCATTCATCTTTGAGCGTGCTTTAAAATAAGATCTGCCACTGGAGTAAGAATGTTTAGACTTATAATTACTGATTACTTCGATAATTGATTGAGTATGCGATCGATAGGGGTCAAAGAAGCGTATTCTAGAAATTTGAACCAAAATAAAGCTAAAGCAACGCAACTCAAGACTATCTTCAGAGAGACTAGAACAATTCCATGTTGTTCTTGAGTAATTCTGTCTGTGAGAGTCCAAAAATCTACTAAACATATTTTGGACAAGGTATGGTTAAAATAAATCATTTACTAAATTAGTTGACAACTATTTCAATAAACGGTTATTATTTGATTATCTTGTTACAGTCCGGTAACGTAGAAGCAATTCTTTATCTTGGAAGACACATATTGTGGAAATGGGGCTTAAATATGGTCTCCTCTAAAGACAGAATTCATTTGTTGATCTTCATTGGCAAATCTTGATAGAAATACCCTCAAATCAAAACACTACACACTTCAACCGCGTACCACCTTATTGTGTGTGGCTTTTGCAGTGTGGCAGGTATTGCAGTGCGTCTCGCCGCTACATGAGCGTGTCTTCCACGGCACGCTCGCTCACCACCTTTCCCGGCCGCGCCCACGTGCAGATGAAGCCTTCCTGGCAGCCTGTCACCAGGCAGTCCTCCAGGAAGATCAGCACCGTCAGCCTCTCGTGCGCTATCTTTTTGCACACCAGTGGCTCCAGCAGCGGTACCTCCTCCATGCGCGGGCAGAGCGAGGTGCCCAGGGTCTTTGCGTTCTCCGCTTTGGTCCGAGCCGCGGTGCCCAGCTGCGGGAGGCTGTGGTTCCGCCGGTGCTCCTTCTCCTGGCGCTCCTTTCGAGAGTCGTGCAGAGACAGAGTCGCAAACTTACTCACGCCACTGGCAATAAATGAGCTGTCCAATAAACTGTTTCCCTTAGAAGAAGTAATAGAAGTAGTTATAGAAGTAGTAGTAGTAGTAGTAGTAGTAGCAGCAGTAGTAGTAGCTGTAGCAGTAGCTGTAGCAGTAGCAGTAGTAGTCGTAGTAGTAGTATTGCTGCCTGGAGAAGTGCTTGGGGTGGTGTGGGACAGACTGTTGCACAGGGAGCTAGCAGAATTTCCGCTCGCACTGCTGTTGCTGCCATCGTCTTTACCGTTGATGCCAGCGGCGGGGGGGACAGGGGAGGTGGTGGGGGGGGCAGAGGTGAGAGCAGCAGTGGGGGTGGTCTGTGCTGCGGTGGTCTGTCCCGCTCCGCACAGGCTCGTGGCACTCATCACGTTGGTGTGAGTCCGTGTGCGGGACAGGGGCAGGTGGGGGAACAGCACGTCCTCAGTCAGGTCCCACAGACACAGCTGAGTGTCCTGTCCTACTGATCCAAACCTGTAGGTGACGGTGAGCGCGCGGCTCTCCGTGGAGTTCCTGTGTGAGAGGCCACAGTTCTCTCTGGGCTCTGGACAGTCATCATCACTGCCGCTAAGCTCCGCCCCTTCCTCCACACTGGAGGTGCAGTGGTCGAAGGCCACCACACTCACCCAGGACTTGTGTCCGTGTCCTCGTGCAATCACGCGGCAATCTGAGAAGGACCAGACCGTGACCAGGTCGTCCTCTCCTCCTGCCACCAGGTATCGTCCATCGGGGCTCCAGCAGACGCACAACAGACCCCCGAAGTAGCTCTTCATGGTCCCATGGAGTTCAGCCGCGTCAAAGCCAAACACGCGCAGGTACCCATCCTGACTGGCACAAGCCAGGAACTTTCCGTCCGGAGAAAAGGCGAATTCATTGAGCGCCCCGTCGCCTACAGTCCAGCGGAGCAGTGGGTTGCGGGGGCTCTTGCTCTTACACGTGTGCACGGAGAAGCTGTCACCTTGTTTAAGCAGCGTGTAGTGTGGCGCCGTGGTGCCACACGTGTTCTCCACATTGTATAGGTACAAACTGCCACTGGAGTGCGCCACGAGGAACAGAGTCTCTGAGCCTGGCACCCAGCGCACACACGTCACTCTGGACTTGTCTATCAGCCTCTGCGGACACACACAGAGCATTAGTGACACAGCCATGGACCCACCTCTTTGTTGAACACATACTTCTTTGGCTCAATGTTATACATATTTATTGATTACCCGGGCAACAGGGGGGTGTCTTGTCTTTGTGTGTATGCGGTTCGACAGTACGGTAGTTACATTTCAAATACAACTCATAAACTCTATAGGTGCGCTGCACTTTTAGACAAGGTCATGGGTCACAAATCAAAGATCTTGCTCCACCGCAGATCAATGGCTTTTGAACTGTGCCGTTCTCACTAAGCCTTTTAGAACCAGTGCTGGCCCTCACTAAAACGCTAATGTCATCATTTGCGCTTAAGATGCATAAACAAGTTCCTCGAGTATATAAAATAGACCACGGTTGCAATATATTTTAAAAATGTCACTTGACCAAACCTGGAAATGCCCCGTCTCATAAATGATTACATTTGAAGCACAAGGAATGATAGATGGAGCCATCTTTCTGAATCCGGAAGCAAACTCACTTTGCGCATAATCCAAGACCATAATGCATCTCAAGTCCTTATCAGAGCTGAAGTGAACAGACGTGCACCCACCTCTTCGTTGAACAGCTTGCTGGTTTCCTTCTTGATGGGGTCGATGAGCTGCACCTGTCCCGCAGAGAAGCCCACGAGCAGGGACACGCTGTCGGCCGTGGCTGTGACCGGGTTGAAGTCGTGACATGTGGGCTGCGTTCCTTTGTAGATCCTTTTGTCTATGGGTTTACTCAGGTCTGCTGCCTGTGCAAACAGAGGGGGATACAAGTATGGTTAACAAAACAGCACATGTCCTGGTGTTTGCCTGTGACACCTGTAGTGTTTTATATCGTAATGCATGAGTAGTAATGCGCCACATTCTGCCCAGTCATATTTTTGCTGGAAGGGAGATTGATTGATTATATATATATATATATATATATATATATTAATATCATAAAAGATAAAACGATGCATCAGGTTCAAATAACTAATTTGATTACTAAATCATTTGAAAGCTTTTTCAACAAGTGATTAGTCGTGATTAAATCGATAAGCTTGTTACAGCCCTAGCATATTCTCTCATTCTGCATTCTCATGTACAAATCTTTCTGTCTTTTCAGACAGCAAGTGTGTAAAAGAAAATGGAAAACGTCATTTGTGACATTTTGGAGTGACCTCATGACCAGCAGAAAACAAAATCTACTGGGACCATCAAGTGAACTCCTCTTTTTAAAATCGGTGCCATTATTCATGCTCAGTATTACAGCATCAGAGGTGGAAACGCAAACAGGTTCCACTGGCCCATTGCATCACGTCTTAACAACCTCAGCCCCGGGACACCGCTGCAAGACGGCCACTGCGCTCTGGATGCTTATGTAAACAGATGCCACTGCACATGACTGGCTCGTGCTTCAGAAGTGAGCAATCTGATCAAACCAATGCACTTCAGTAGATCAGGGGAGGAGGGAGTGCTGCATGCTTTACATCTGGTTAAGAAATCCTACTGGAGTTTAGCTAGAAACGGTACAAACTCTATCTTTTATAAAACACTTATGTTGTATCTGCTTTCATTTAAATACATGTCAGATGCTATGGCACTCTTTTTTGGGAATTGTGTAATAATAATGATTTTTAAAAAAGAGCCAAATCCAGCTACTTTTCATCCAATAAACTGGCAAACCCAAATGAGAGCCTCATTCTGCTCTCTGATTGGATAATCTGCCAGACAATCGTAAACATAAACACAAACTGTAACTAAGGTGTATGAGCTCATCATTAGGCAGTGTCCCAGTTTACAAAGAGCATGATGGGAAAATGCAAATTATCCTGTTTTAGTTTTACATGAGGGACAGCGAGAAGGTCGAGGTCCGAGAATCTGATTGTGACAGGTTCATATAACAAACTTATCCAAAATATGAGTGTCATAAATGAGCATGAGGATATTTTTATTGTCAGAACACCATCATAAGTTAGAATGAGATGCGGTCGCTGGATCGAAGTGGAAGTCCTGAAAATAGGTACATTAGCATTATCTAATGTTTAAACACTGAATCTGTATCACCAGATGCAGCTTACATATTACCAGAGATACACGCACCACACTTTGAGAAGCACTGCTCTAGACGGGGCTCTGTCATGACCCTGATTAGAGAAGTGATGCGATTGTGTACGCATCAGTCTGCCAATGAGCAGGCTTCTTTAGACCTGGCTTGTTTCTACCAACCTTATCTATTGGTTTATTAGACCCGCTTGGCTCAAAGTTTATTTTCAGCAGATTCCGGTCTCGGATAAGACGTCGCTTTGGCCAGGATTAGTGCTGCTTCATGGTGATCTTTTTTCAAACATGTTTTGTCTGGAAAACTTCACAAATACTCATGTTAACTTACATCTTATTCGCTCTTGGTTTCATTTCTTTAGACTTGATTCCGACTCGCTTATTTACGTGAACACAAAGCTTACTCCTGGTCGAGACCTTACTTGGAACTTGCTCAGACCTATAGTTTACAGTAAATATAAGTTCATATTTACATAAATGTGCGGATTTCTGGTTTGGTTTAGAATCTATACTAAGCCTTTAGACTTTCAGACATGTAATCGAGCTTGATTTCTTTGAAGTAATTTCTCAAGGGCTCTACATCAAGTTTAGTCTTGCTTGAGACATTAAATAAGAGACTGGTTTATCATTTAGACCCAGTTGTGACCTGTTTGAGTCCAGCCATTCATCTCAATTGCTTTACATTACGGCTGCAACAAGTTAGTTGATAAATTTCAACTAATCATTATTGAAATAGTTTAGTAACAGATTAATATTTTTAAACATTATATAGACTGATACATGCTGAGAAGAAGTTTTATGACTCAGATAAGTCTACAACGATTGCATAATGAAAGTAAAATGTGCTTACAAAGTATTTTGAATCAAACAACCCAATGTGTAACAAGTCGTCTCAATGAAGATGTTCTCTAGGAGCGTCACTGGAAGTTTGTTTTGGTCAAATGTAGAAAACCCCATATTAATTGACTTTTCAGGATCCAAAAACTACTCAGTCATCAAAATAGTCGTTCAGCAGAGCCCTACTGTACATTAAGTTTAGTACTTATTAAGACCCAATTTACATTAACCGCATTACTAGTTTATCTTTTAGAACTGGCTTGATTTAAAGTCTTTTCTCAACCAGTTTCATCTGACTTTATGACTGACATTTCTTATAATAACACTACTTTCTGGTTCATCTTTCCAGACCTGGATTCTGACCTAATTTGATCCTAATTGTCTTCGCCACTACTTTATTTACGCCTTACGCTATTCTAAACATGAATGAAACTACCAAATGACACCGATCTGCTGTAAATATGACATACGAGTTGATCCTTTACATCTGGTTCTGGCCTGGTTCAGTCCAAAGTTTCTTCCCAACTGCATCCCACCTTACTTACGCAGTGGATAATCACAATTTCCAGCCAATTCTTACGCAAAACGTCACCCCCGATCTCCCATCCCACCACCGCAGCCCCTGACAGAGCCCCTCAATGCACGCTTGTACCACTTGTTTACCTTTCTCACGCCTTTGTAGATGTAAAAGTAGAGCTCTCGGCCCACATTGAAGCAGATTCTCTCCCCGTTCCCGGACTGGTCGTTCACATTGACGAACGACACCCGGACCGGATTGGAGCCTTGTGAGTTGAAGGGCACCCTGTTGGGCCGGCTATACTCGGAGTGGCTCAGGAGTCTGTAAATGCCTTCTCTAGTGTTGAATTGTGTTTTAATTTCGTTCGCCTGCTCCTTCCCTCCTCCCTCCGCCGCCATCTTGGACGTTCATCCTTGTCTGGGGACCCGGATGTAGCGGAGAGCGCATGCGTTTGTTTGTTGACAGGGGAGGCGTGTTTATCAATTTGTGATGTTTATTTTTTTTTATATATGATTATTTGTAGACGGTAGATGGATAGTCCTAATTATTTTCACAATCACTTGGAGTAAAATGGGCCTCATAAAAATACATTTGATACATTGTTGGGTATTGTTGGGTATGTACAGCAAAGACCCACTATAACAACATGGAAGAAGAAATTATAAAAATAGAGACTGTATGACTGTATGTTTAAAATGTGGTGTGTTGCTAATATTAGAAATAATGTGTGTGGTTGCAGTTGCTGACGTTATTTAAGACTGTAATGTTGTTGATTTAGTTTAGGTTTTGTTTCATGTAAAAAAAAGTTTTCCCTTTTTTACATTGAAGTCTTAATTTACAGAGAATTAAGAATATATACATATAGCAAATGATAATATACTGATATTAGGGAATCATCTCAGAAACATATTGAGGAGAAAAACTCAAAATAATATGATAAAAGTATCAAATAAATGTCAGAAATAATCATATAATTGTTGGACACACTGAAACACTATGAGAGGATTTCGCTTAACACCTATAGTCCAGTATAGTTCAGAGGAGCTCAGAATGTATGTTTAAATTGATGTCTGTCCAATGTGAGCCACGTCCCCTGTGAACAAGTACTGAAGATGTTCAGAAGGAACAGCCTGGTCCAATGAGAACATACTTGAGCTCTTCAAAAAAATAAAACAAAAAATAAAACAGAAAATAGAAAACCTCCCATACTTATTTTTTTAAAGCATTGAATTGTCTTGCCTAAGGACACAACGGCAGTTTGGCACTTTACAGCCACAGTCGCCCCACTGTGGCACCAAGTGTTCCCAGAGGTTAAGTGTCTTGCCAAGGACAACAACAGCACTCAGTGGGAGTCGGTGGTGAAAGTCTTGAGGTGGGCTCAAACCCACGACCAACTGAGCTACTGACACCTTTTGTAATCACTATAAATGTCAATAAAAAAATAACATTCTCAAATGTCAACTAGACGTAAAGAAACGGTCCCATTGTTCCTTGGATATGACTTTTTAAAATTACATTATGTCTATATTGGCTAAATATTTAGTTGAATTTGTGTCAGATTGTATTTATTTGACTAAAAGTTTAATACACATTGAAAAAACATTTAGTGTGAATTTCTTGATCACTGTCAGAGTTATTTCTCTATTTTATAATTTCTTCTTCTATTTTGTTATCTCAGTGGTTTTTTGCCGTACATCTCACAGATCTTCAGATTCATCTTACAGAGAATTAAGAATATATACATATAGCAAATGATAATATACTGATATTAGGGATTAATCTCAGAAACATATTGAGGAGAAAAACTCAAAATAATATGATAAAAGTATCAAATAAATGTCAGAAATAATCAAGTAATTGTTGGACACACTGAAACACTATGAGAGGATTTTGCTTATCACATTTAGTCCAGAGTTCAGAAGAGCTCAGACTTTATGTTTAAATTGATGTCTGTCCAATGTGAGCCACGTCCCCTGTGAACAAGTACTGAAGATGTTCAGGAGGAACAGCCTGGTCCAATGAGAACATACTTGAGCTAATAAAAAATAAAAAATAAACAGAAAACCTCCCATACTTTAAAAAAATAAAATAAAAAACGTTTTAAAGCATTGCAAATGTATTGAACACAACTAAGATAAAGTAGGAAATAAAACTAATTTGAAAATCAAACAAGGACTCTAAAATTGGAGAACACTCCATAAAATGAAAAATTATTGGGAAAAACAAAGGGTACATAGCGTAAGGCTGGTTACATGTTTAAGGACATAAAGATTGAGCAAATCACATTTCAACCAGTTTTCATTTGTTGATAAAGAAGTATTTCATTGGATCTGACTTTTGTAATTATTAAAATGTAAACAAAAAATAACATTCTCAAATGTCAACTAGACAGGTATGTAAAGAAACGGTCCCATTGTTCCTTGGATTTGACTTTTAAAAATTACATTATGTCTATAATGGCTAAATATTTAGTTGAATTTGTGTCAGATTACATATACTGTATATTTGGAAGTTTGTATTGACTAAAAGCTTAATACAAATTGAAAATACATTTAGTGTGAATTTCTTGAGTCACTTTCAGAGTTATTTCTCTATTTTATAATTTCCTCTTCTATGTTGTTATCTCAGTGGTTTTTTGCCGTACATCTCAAACTAAAGCATACGTATGGGACACGGTACCCTCTCCCCTGGAGTGGTGCGATGGCTGGACATACCCAACATTGTAACACCATTAAGAATTTGGAAAATGTAAAACAGATGACTTGGGGCCCTTTTTACTCTAAGTGATTGTGGTAATAATTTAGACTATCCAGATCCAGACATTGTCCATCCAACACGGAGCTGGAGGAATTGTGCTGAGAGGGAATTCTGACTGTCTGTCATACTCCTGCCTCTGTGACCCGGCAACGGGTCATAACGTGGATGAATTGATGGATGGAGATATAATATAGATATAAATATCTTCCATTTAAAGTACTTTTTATAATATGAATATCATGAATGCTCTTGACAATGCACCCGTACCTCCTGGTTTTGGCCAAAGCCACATTTTTGCCAAATTCAAGTCTATGTCTAAGAGCAACCAATGTTATTATTTTTTTAATTAACTATTATTAATTAAATAATTCCAGATCATTTTCAGTTTGTTCTCTCTGTGTCTTGAATCAACCATGACATTAAAATCCGTCCTAATTAAAGATAAATTAATATAAAGGGTTAACATGTGACTCACCTCCTGTACTGTATATAGATGATTCTCCAGTTACACAAACAGTCACTTCTAGTAGCGTCTCCCGTCCACTGGAAGAAGTCACATTACGCAATAGAGAGTAGGGAATGTGTGTGTGCGCGTGCGTGTGTTTGTGCGTGTGCGTGTGTGTGTGTAATATTTCCAGACTTTACACTACAAGTACAGGGAGAAGTGTTATTGACAACATTGAATATTGGGCTACACTGCAGTGACCAAGGCAGCATAGTGCCATACTGTTGTTGTGTTCTGAGACAAAAAACGTCACCCACCCAGCTTACTGGCTCATTCAATACATACAGTATTACAGAACCTGATGTTCTGTACTTCTGTCAGGACGTCTCGTTTGTAAAATGTTTCATCTTAATTACGTATACTAACAAATCAAAAATCTAGTGGTTCTAGGGCCTGTGCTTCACAGTAAGAAGGTCAAGGGTTTGATTCTACCTCCAGACCTTTCTGTGTGGAGTTTGCATGTTATCCTCGTGTTTGTGTAGGTTTCCTCCAGATGCTGCGGTTTCCCGTACCCCTAAAAACCTGTACAATAAGTCTGGCATGTGCCTCCTTATGGCGACCCCGCTCCTGTCTCTGTGTGGAGTGAGAGACAAATGCCCAAAAAACAGCAATTGTAAAGCGCTTTGTGACTCTGGTCCTTACTTACTAGTGTTGCAAATGCAAATTGTTGTGAACAAAAATGACCACAACATCTTTTCCATGTGTGAATCCCTGTAAGTCACTATTTGATTCTTTGGGTTGAGAGCTGATTGATAAGAGTGAGTCCTCTCTTTATCACTTTTCTGTATGTTTTTTTATCTGACCAAAGGATGTGACTGGTTTGAGAATGAGGAACTAGTTGGATGGATTTTCTTACATAATACATTTTAGTCATAGTATAAAACTTATTACATTGTCAAGATGATGACGGAGGCAGCAGCTGAAGACAGACAATGGCACCTGTAACCCCGGTTTATTTTCGAGTCCCTTCAGATCGAACAGAAGGAGAAAAAGCTTTTTATGATTTGTATCGATATGCATAAGAACAGAGATGCCATCACTTAAGATATTAATCACGCATGCTTAAGATATAGATACTAAGAGTAACAATGTGGGTCAGAACACATACGTTTAGCTCTTCAGATAATAATTTTTAGCAGTAAAACAGATATAACAGAGGTCCACCGTACAAAATATGCTGGATAAGTGTCACAACACGTACAACCTGACAAGCTGTGCGTATTGCAGTTTATTGTTTGCATTCTTTTTATTGTTCTTGGTGTACATACGTTTGAAAAAATGACTATAGTATAATTTCCGCTAGGGCCCCAGTCCAGCAGCTGAGAGCGGGGCGGGTGCAGGGATGTGTCCCGAGGAGTTATCAGCAGAGCCCTGGAGTGATTGACAGGCACTGGCTGGTGACTCCACGACCCTAAAAGGACACTCACATTTTGGGCCCTACTCCCACTCACGCCCCTCCACACCCACCTACCCACTTTACCATGCCACTGTAGTTTCTTCTAGAAGATTCTGAGCGGGGGCTTCGAGAAACTTCCCCCCAAGTATAAAAAGACAGGCGTTGGGAAGCAGGGCATATTCACTCAACTCAAACAGCTGCCCTCAACAAGAAGGCTACTTCACACCAATATACTGCGATTAGCACTGCGACGAAGGCCACAGTAAAGGTAGGACTTGGCATTTCTCAGCTTCTAAATGTTCATATAGACGCTGCTTTTCTTTCAATGACATCCATGCAAATGTTTATGAGGAAAGACATAGCTTGAAATGAGAAATTATTGAATTAACACATAAGGGACCACGTCAAATTTGGAAAAGAACCTGAACTAGGATTCGAATCAAAGTCTGAGTCAGGACTTAAACGTTCCCAAAAAGCAATTATAGCAAAAATAGCAAACCTCTAATGCTAATGCAATGTAATGTGTAGCAAATATCTTAAGCCAGATGCTTTGTCTTATTCCAAAGATTTGTATAAATGTAGGCCCTGACAGGAGGAGCACATGGCATCAGGGGTGACTTTCAATGAACAGCAATTATTGAGGAATGAATAGAGAAATAACATATAGCAGATGTTATTTAATGACCATTTTGAGTGCTGGGTACAGTTGACAAAATTGACTGAATTAGTGAACTATAGTATGTCAATTGTAGCAGCAGAAGTGATTTCATAAAAGGCTGTGTATTTGAAAGTTTGCAAAGGTATTCAAATTATGACATCCACTGATTTCATGTAAAGCAAAGTGGAAACTAAAGATGTTTCAAAAATATTTATACTAGGTTCCAATTAGAAGTTGTAGTAAAGTGAAGATAGTGTGAAGTGGCACATGTTGAAGCAGTGGACATGCCTTAGCTCCGCCCACACACCAAATGGTAGGACTTTGATTGACAGTGAGGACTGTTGCTGCTGCTCCCCCTCCTCGAACCCAACAGGCTTATCTGAACTCAAGCTGGAAACAGAGCTGCAGTCTAAAAAGCAGATATCAACCATTAGGCATGTATCTTGTTGATGAGATTGAAATGAGGGCCGCTTATTTGCTATTCAATGACAATGATCTCATTAAGTATTTTGTTGGTTATTGTCAACAAAAAACAAACAATTTCAGATCCATAGATTGATTTTAAAAACAGTTTACACAGAAATGTAGCACTTATTTCATCATACAAAATGTAACAAATCCTGAACTAGAGCTTTATAGATAAGACAAAAACCGAGACGCAACACGTTAGTATTGTTTACTAATGTCAATATATTTATCAAATGTTTAAGCTTATTGTTATGTAATGTTGTAGTGTAACAATGTACATGTTTTAACTATAGTAGAAGTACAACTTTAAGTATAGTCGCAAAAAGAATGTTTGCAATTAACCAACTGCAAATGCAACAATTATTGAAGTGAAAATCCCTCCTCAAGAGTGTCTAATGTTTAAACTAGCTGACAAGATAAGTCATACTTTCATAAGCAGGTTCTAAAACTACTAGATGTCAAGCAAGAAAACAGTTGCATGGGCTCTTCTGGAAAATGTGATTTAAATACAACATAAAAGTACAGTATTAATTATATCACACATCACAAATAGTGTGTCAAAGTGCAATGTACCTCAAATAAATCACAGTAAGATATTTTGAAAAACCTGTGGATCTCCTCATTCTTAGATGCCTGAGAACAGCGGCCGTGGGATGGAGGAGGAGGTGGAGACCTTTGCCTTCCAGGCGGAGATCGCTCAGCTCATGTCCCTCATCATCAACACCTTCTACTCCAACAAAGAGATCTTCCTCAGAGAGCTCATCTCCAACTCCTCAGACGTAAGAAAATATATGAACTCAATAGATAACAATACAACCCTATGAGAAAGAAGCCAACATTTACAGTTGTTTCCCAAATATTTATTTGATAGTGATTAGATTGACAAACCTGCACTATTATTCTTCTGTCAGAAAAGCAGACTAAGATCTTTTATTTGTTTATTGAATATTGTCACCACTTCTAGACGGAATCTTTTGAATATTCAGGTTTCTAAATGATTCTAAATCCCAATGGCAGCAGTCTCAAACCCACAGACAGTTAATCAAAGCACAATAGGTCTTAACAACAATTGCAATATAGTTAAATTCACTCAATCTATCGCTTCCCCACAGGCTTTGGACAAAATCCGATATGAAAGCCTCACAGACCCAAGCAAACTGGACTCATGTAAAGACTTGAAAATGGACATCACGCCCGACCTGCTGACCCGCACACTCACCATCACAGATACGGGCATCGGCATGACCAAAGCCGACCTCATCAACAACCTGGGAACCATCGCCAAGTCGGGCACCAAGGCCTTCATGGAGGCGCTGCAGGCTGGAGCAGACATCTCTATGATCGGACAGTTTGGCGTGGGTTTCTACTCCGCCTACCTGGTGGCAGAGAGGGTCACGGTCATCAGCAAGCACAACGATGATGAGCAGTACATCTGGGAATCGGCTGCTGGAGGGTCCTTCACTGTCAAGACCGATACAGGTAACACAAACAGAAAGATTAAGATTAAGAATTGTTATCAGCTTAAGTGATGTTCGGTTGAGCTTTGCCAATATCATGGTGGATACAAACTCATAAATAAAAACCAGGGTCTCCAGTCATGCTACAGGATCCAAAAGGGGCTTAAATGAATGGTTGTACTTCTTATTGACTATCTTTCCTGTCACGTTCTTCCAGGAGAGTCAATTGGCCGCGGTACAAAGGTCATCCTCCATCTTAAAGAAGATCAGACTGAATATTGTGAAGAGAAACGGATCAAGGAAGTCATCAAGAAGCACTCACAGTTCATTGGCTACCCCATCACACTCTATGTAAGTTTGGCCACAGACTAAGTAGTGTTAAAATGGATGCAATAAATAGTAACCAATGGACAAGACGAACTTGAACATTTGCACATTCCCAGGTGGAGAAAACTCGTGAGAAGGAGGTTGACCTGGAGCAGGGCGAAAAAGAGGAGGAGGCAGCGCCCCAAGACGAAGCTGCTGGAGACAAACCCAAGATCGAGGACATCGGGGCGGACGAGGACGAGGATACCAAAGACGGACAGAACAAACGCAAGAAGAAAGTCAAGGAGAAGTACATCGACGCACAAGAACTCAACAAGACCAAACCCATCTGGACCAGAAACCCAGACGACATCACCAACGAGGAGTACGGAGAGTTCTACAAAAGCCTCACCAACGACTGGGAGGACCACATGGCTGTCAAGGTGTAGCTTCTATTGGTTTCACGAGAGAAAGTGTTGCTGAATTGATATGAATATAACACGAGAACCAATAGTTTCTCTGGGTGGTTTTAAAACAGCATTTGTCAAACCAGAGTATAGAACCAAAGACAATTACGATGGTTTTTCCAACAAGATGAAATTAAAAGTTCAGACTAAGCCATTACTAAAAGAGATAATAATACGCAAAACAACAGCATGTCTGCTTTATATTGCCTTCAATTAATACATAACTACACAAAATCTCTTTTCTTGATGTTGACATTAGCCCTAAACAAATTGATATAAGCTTACTTAATCAATAACATATTTCCTTTTATTCCTATTTCCTTGTATTCCTGTCTTATGTATTGGGAAAAACCGCAACTCTTGTATATAGTAAAAAACAAAGGATTAAAAGGTTGAGCTGTTAAGTTTCTGCAACTCTGAACCCGAATGACGCGCCTTACAGACCCATCCATTTATCAAAAGTAATACAATACTATCTCGGGTGTGTACAAAAAGTAAAAGCTTCAACCCACAGTAGATACTACCTAATAGTTTATGTTTTTTAAGTCCATAAATCCAACAAACATCTTATCAGTCAAATACTAAAGATATTTCTACTTTGATTTCTGCAGCACTTCTCGGTGGAGGGCCAGCTGGAGTTCCGCGCTCTTCTCTTTGCGCCTAGACGAGCTTCTTTCGATCTGTTTGAAAACAAGAGGAAAAGGAACAACATTAAGCTGTATGTGCGCCGCGTCTTCATCATGGACAACTGCGAGGAGCTCATCCCAGAATACCTCAGTAAGTATACACACATACCACTGCTGTCTTCTCCCTTGTTACATGTACGTCTTGGTTACCTTCACTTCAACCCAATTCATCTCTATATTTCTAGATTTCATCAAGGGTGTGGTAGACTCCGAGGATCTGCCACTGAACATCTCCAGAGAAATGCTGCAGCAGAGCAAAATCCTGAAGGTGATCCGCAAAAACCTGGTCAAGAAGTGTATGGACCTGTTCACTGAGATCTCAGAAGACAAAGACAACTACAAAAAGTTCTACGAGCAATTCTCCAAGAACATCAAGGTGAGGAGTGTGTTTGCCTGAAGCTACGATACACTACTGCCAAGACTGAAAAGCTGAATTGTAAACAGTCTGACACTTTATATTTGTTTCTATTTCATTGATGTCCTATGTTTAGTATTTTCAAAACTCTAATTTTTAAACCATCTTTTTGCAGCTTGGTATCCACGAGGACTCCCAGAACAGAAAGAAACTGTCAGAGCTTCTTCGCTACTACACCTCGTCCTCTGGAGAAGAAATGGTGTCCCTCAAAGACTACGTATCACGCATGAAGGAGAACCAGAAGCACATCTACTACATCACCGGTACCAAGACCTTTTTTATTAACACTGCAGTTCCGAGGGCTGGGAGTAGAGACTGGTATCTGCTTTTTAAATAGTTGTAAAAGTGGGGAACATTTGAGCAATGACCTAGGACATGGTGGCATGATTCAATTAGAAAAAAGTCTCTGTGACCGTAAATAATAAAATAAAACATACATGTCCACTGACTTTCATACCGAAAAGATAACATTAGTCTTGCTCAAAATTTTCAAATTCCATTAACAAAATGATTGAAGATACCGAGCATATCGTGGAAGCATAGGATGAAAATGATGAATTATACAGATTGATCTCTAATGTCTACCTTCTTCCAAACAGGTGAAACCAAAGACCAGGTGGCCAACTCTTCGTTCGTAGAGCGTTTGCGAAAGGCCGGATTGGAGGTGATCTACATGATTGAGCCCATTGATGAGTACTGTGTCCAGCAGCTGAAGGAGTTTGATGGGAAAACTCTGGTGTCCGTGACCAAAGAGGGTCTGGAGCTGCCTGAAGATGACGAGGAGAAGAAAAAACAGGAGGAACTCAAAACCAAATTCGAAAACCTCTGCAAAATCATGAAGGACATCCTGGACAAGAAGATTGAAAAGGTAAGATGACTACAACAAGCAACTACTAACGACACACTTGAATTCATCTTATTGAATACTTATAAGCAACTGTAGCTGGAATTCACGTAAGAAACATTTCACTGATCTGTTTCAAAAGATATACACTGACTTAAGTGACGAGTGCACTCATGTTTTACATCCACAAAGTGAACCAGACCAACAAGTGTGAGCTCACTCCAAGACTATATACTGTAACTGGCAGTTGTTAGATGATCTTAGAAGAGATTTGAACTGTTCTCAGCTGTTTGCTTGTCCACTTCATACATACTCTTCAGAGATACCTTTCTTTGGAAAACTACCAGTGTAGTTACTCAGTTAATCAATTAAACTAAAATAGTCAAAAAATTACAAAATTACAAACAAGCCCGTTAACTTACCCAAGCCAAATGTAGGTATATAGAAAATCAATCTGGATCATTTTTTCAACAGAGGCACGTCTTATCTTAGGAGTCCCTAAGGAGTTTGACTGCCCAGATGGCAGTCTTATCTAAGAAGTTGGTTTGAGAACTGGAAAGTGAGACTGTGTTCACACTGATTGGACTCTGTTCACTTCAGAATCAAATGCAGCAGTATACATACCATTACAGATCTGTTTCAAAATAAGTAAATTGATTGAGATGACTAGTGAACCAGGACTCGTATGTTTTGTTCTTTGAGTTTAGGTTAATTGAACTAAGTGTGAAAAAAGCCTGAAACTATTGTGAACCTCGTCCATGAGCTTGTAAAATCCAGTTCTTAGAACATTTCCTGGAGTCAGATCAGAAAAATGAAGGCCAGGTGGGAGTCAAATGTGAGGGAAAACCAGGGGATACCTTTTGAAACTTGGATTGCTTCTGGGGCCTTAACCGATTACACCACTCTGCCTCTAAGAATCCAGTTTTTGTCAATATTGACCTCCTATAGGAGTTGCGACATTTGCAATTCTAAAGCCTAGCGTACATCGGACTGGCAACTGATTATATCCGTCGCCTCTGAGTTGCTGCCCCGCACACATCGACAATCTGGCGAAAACGGGCAACTCTGAGTCGCAGGCCAGTCTCTTAAATAACAGCGCGTACATCGACAGCAACTGGCCTCAACTACAGTGTGTTTTCTGACAACAAACTGTTGCGGGCTCGCAATACACGCAATACACACACGTTGTTGGAGCGGCGCATGGAGCGCGCACATCGGGGCAACTGAGGACAACTAGTTGCCGAAAAGTAGAACACGGGCAACTGACTGGAACTGGAGACCGACTGATCATCTCCAGTTGTAAGAGCGCGCACATCGACCGATTTCGGCAACTGATCATCTCCCACCATCTCCTCTCAGTTGCCAAAAGCCGCCTTGCAACTAGTTGTCCCCAGTTTCTCTGTCGATGTACGCTAGGCTTAACACAAACTAATTAATGCTCTTTTGGACAGGTCACAGTATCAAACCGCCTGGTCTCCTCTCCCTGCTGCATCGTTACCAGCACATACGGTTGGACGGCCAACATGGAGCGCATCATGAAGTCTCAGGCCCTCAGAGATAACTCTACCATGGGGTACATGACGGCCAAAAAACACCTGGAGATCAATCCAGCTCACCCTATCGTGGAGACACTGCGGGAGAAGGCGGAGGCGGATAAGAACGATAAAGCTGTGAAGGATCTGGTGATTCTGCTGTTCGAGACTGCGCTCATGTCCTCCGGATTCACGCTGGATGATCCACAGACCCATGCCAACCGCATCTACAGGATGATCAAACTCGGACTGGGTAAGCAACGAGTAGAAGACATTTTAGTGCTCTCCAAATATACAGTTTATATAGGGATTTAGAGCCCCAGGTGATGTAACTATTTAAAATATCTTTATCTAACAAATAGAAAAAAAATCCTGGAAATTGGAAAAATACAAAAGTTAAATCAAACTTTCTGGGATTAATCAGGACCATGAATTGCTTAGTTATTTTATGGAAAGACACCTACTGTACTTAGAGTGAATCAAAATATTTTTGAACAACAAAATCCAAACCTCAGGGTTGCAAGCAATGTTGGAACTTGTAAACTTGGAACAGCTGTCCTGAAAGTGCAGGTTGGGGCTGAACTCCCCTGATTTTGGCTATGGTAAACAAAGAAGATAAGACACAAGGGGCGTTTATAGTTTGGAAAAACTGTTTTATTTGTTGGTCTAATTTGTCCACTCTCTTCCATTTGTTACCTTCAGGCATTGATGAAGACGATTCTCCAGTGGAAGAGCTGACCCAGCCGGCAGAGGAGGACATGCCCGCGCTGGAGGGAGACGATGACACGTCCAGAATGGAAGAAGTCGACTAAAACATAATACGCTGTATTTTATCCACATTGTTATGTTTTTCAATGTATATTTTTATAAGTTATTTCAGCTTTGAAAAAAACGTTTGTGCACACTGTAAGTCAAAAGCCTCGACATTTCCTAAATGATAAGCCTTTACTGGCAACTTTAAAGAAAACATATTACAATTAGTTTGCAACTTCATTCAACATTTTGATAATGATCATGAAATCATCATCATCATCAATCAAAATGAGCTATGTATTTGTGCATGCATTTGCATTATTTGAGTAAACTGATGAGGTCATACTATTGTAACAGATTGTAACAGCCATAACATTTTCTTTGTCCACATTCAAACAGTAATTTCCAGCCAGTTTAAGTTGACTTCTCTATTTTGTAACGAGTTTTTTGATATGCAAACATGTTTTTAATAAAAATGTGACAAGAAATAACTTTAAGTTTCATTTTTGCACGCGGGAAAATACTTATTTATTGGCTTACAAGACTAAACCTAAACAGATTGATGCATTGAATTGAGCAAAGGCAACTTTCTGGAAATTTCAAGAGCTTCGTAGTCAGGTACCGCCTATTTCCAATACAAACCAATACAACTCCTAATGATTGACAGCCGAACAGACCAATCTGTGCGCTGATACAGTTCACTCTCAGAACATTCCAGACCTTTCTCGACGCTGAGTTTTACCCAGTATAAAGCCAGACCACGCATCGCCTTGCACCACACCGCAGAAGAGAACTGTCAACCCGCCTCAGCACAGGGCCAGGGGAACAACCTAAGCTCTCCAACACTCTTATATCTGCTCGAACTTCCATCGATGACCAAGGTACAGTTGCATGCATGTGCTCATGGATGAAAATGTTTTTCTACTCTAACGCTATTACGACAGATCTTCTGACATTAACTATAAATACCACTGCCGTACTAATGTTTTTGTTAAATTGTTTTAAAGTATAGTTTATTGAATTAAATTGTAAATCGTAATTTGGAAAAATGTAATCAAATGTGTTAGCTGTATTATTGATAGTTGCAAGGAGGTATCCATGTAGTCTAGTATTTAATATTTGCAATTATTTATGAATTTCTTGACTGTTCTGGTGAGTACTACATTTTAGAAGGTATTTGCTTTTGAAGACGTTGTCAATGTGTAAGTCGTTAAGCTGGATAAGACTGATTCATTCATTCTGTCATCCGCCTCCTCGCCTCTCATGGAAACTACTAGATCATTCTCCAAGAGCCTTCGAGAAACTATCAATTCACCAAAGTGGCCAAAAGGTGGCGCCATTGCAATGCCATTGCAATGCCATCGCCCACGTGCTCGCTTAGGATAATAATGGTCGAGATATAAAGCAATAAAGTATCTTTTACCTATCCCTTATTAAAGCCAAAAAAGTATTACTCTACAAAAATATCCATCTAAATGGTTCCTGGCACTAGTTTTCAAATGCATGATATTTAGACCAGCTTTTTCAAACTGAAAAGCCCAAAGGCTGGTCTGACCTTGGACTCTGTAAATGGCATTTAATCTACCAAATGTATATGCTCAACATCATGGATGTCATCAGCTCTAGAATGAACCTCTACTTCCTGTATATTTGTACATTATTTACATTCTTTACAGACGTGGCTTCATCAAAACAAATATATTTTAATGCTGGCGATATATTTTATTTACATTTTTATTGTTTGTTCTGACTGTGCAGCACTTTAAAAAAAAGTGCTATACAAATAGATCTTCCATAGACTCCGCTTTGATTGTAGATCAATCGGAGATGAAAAGCTTGCACCTTGCATCTCTTATTTCCAGTAAAAGCGATAAAATCTGCAGTTATTCTGGAGAAGTTTAAACGCTATAATCAAATGGATACTTTGTATTTTCCAATACTTAAAATTCAAAGGGTTCTCAAACGGATTGATTTTAGAGGTTTTAGGAATACATGAAGACACAACTGCAACTCTTTCAAGATACTGCTTGGTCATTTATGAATCCATTGGCACTTTGCCTTGTCTGCAATGTGCAGAAACTTGTGCAATGATGGCCTGTCTGTGTCTAGATGCCTGAACCGCGAGATCAGCCGATGGAGGAGGAGGGAGAGGTTGAGACTTTTGCCTTCCAGGCGGAGATCGCTCAGCTCATGTCCCTCATCATCAACACCTTCTACTCAAACAAAGAAATCTTCCTCAGAGAGCTCATCTCCAACTCTTCAGATGTAAGTTACATGCGGGTGATAGTGGGGAATTGCATGCTGAGATCCTATTAAAATGTGAAAAGTCAAAATAAATGGTCGCATTATCACGTTAAAGCTCCAAACTAAGTCATAATATTTGTTCATAAGATTTGCTTATTTGGATCCTCAGGCTCTGGACAAAATCCGTTATGAAAGCCTCACAGACCCAACCAAACTGGACACCTGTAAAGACCTGAGAATTGAAATAATTCCTAACAAAGAGGAACGCACACTAACTCTAAAAGACACGGGCATCGGCATGACCAAAGCTGACCTGATCAACAACCTGGGAACCATTGCCAAGTCGGGCACCAAGGCCTTCATGGAGGCGCTGCAGGCTGGAGCAGACATCTCTATGATCGGACAGTTTGGCGTGGGTTTCTACTCCGCCTACCTGGTGGCAGAGAGGGTCACGGTCATCAGCAAGCACAACGATGATGAGCAGTACGCATGGGAGTCGTCTGCTGGAGGGTCCTTCACTGTCAAGACCGATGACTGTAAGGAACCGTTTTGTTTCATCACTGATCCAGCTTTATGTCCCTGTACTTTGGCTTTCAAAATCTACCAAAAGTTTTGTCCCTTAACCTGTGGGACTTAAGATTCAGGTCACGATTATTGTATAAATGGGCTCTTGACACTTATATAAAAGGCCCTGTCTCTTTTTGTTTTCAGTTGAACCGATTGGACGTGGCACTAAGGTGATCCTCCACCTGAAAGAAGACCAGATGGAATACATAGAGGAAAAACGAATCAAGGAGATTGTCAAGAAGCATTCGCAGTTCATTGGATATCCCATCACCCTCTTTGTGAGTGCAGCGCATTTGTTGCAACAGATTTTCCAAACACTTAAGTGTAGCATGTGATAGGTTTTTGCTTAGTAATTTTGAACTCAATTGTGATACATTTTCTCCCGATAAGGTAAACAATGTCTTTAACTTATGAATACAAAAAGTAATTGCTAGATTTATTAGTAAGAAATTGATAATTTGGTGTTTTATCATTCTCTTTGACCCAGTCTTGTAGGAATCTCATCTCCTAACAGCTTTTCTTAACATTGTCCATGATAGGTGGAAAAAGAGCGTGACAAGGAGGTGAGTGATGATGAGGAAGAGGAGCAGGAGCAGAAGGACAAGGACAGCGAGAAGGGAGATGATGAGAACGAGGATAAACCGGAGATCGAGGACGTGGGATCTGACGATGAGCACGAACAAAAGTCCGACAAGAAGAAGAAAAAGAAGATAAAGGAGAAGTACATCGACGAGGAAGAGCTGAACAAAACCAAACCGCTGTGGACCCGAAACCCAGACGACATCACCAACGAGGAGTACGGAGAGTTCTACAAGAGCCTCACAAACGACTGGGAGGACCACTTGGCTGTCAAGGTGCAGATCTAAATAATACGCTTTCATTCAATAAGTGTAATTCAACGATTTAGGCATTGGTCGAAATGAAGACTTGTGTTGATCCATCGTATGCACTGACATGCCTCTCTCCGCAGCACTTTTCGGTGGAAGGGCAGCTGGAGTTCCGCGCTCTCCTCTTCGCACCTCGGCGCGCCCCGTTCGACCTGTTTGAAAACAAGAAAAAGAAGAACAACATTAAGCTGTATGTGCGTCGTGTCTTCATCATGGACAACTGCGAGGAGCTCATCCCAGAATACCTCAGTAAGTATTCATGACAAATACAGTACACACACCCTGAACACAGAAGGGGTGCAATCTTCCAAACTATACTTATTTTTTTTCCTGAATGAGCACTGCTAGTTTTTCCACTAGCTACTGAATCCTAGAAGCTCTGGGCTTGATTTATGGCCAGTGTTTATTAAGAGCTAAAGTTGGCTGGATGTTCTAACTCTATTGTATTTCCAGATTTCATCAAGGGCGTGGTAGACTCCGAGGATCTGCCACTGAACATCTCCAGAGAAATGCTGCAGCAGAGCAAAATCTTGAAGGTGATCCGCAAAAACCTGGTCAAGAAGTGTCTGGAGCTGTTCACTGAGCTAGCGGAGGATAAGGAAAACTACAAGAAGTGCTACGAGCAATTTTCAAAGAACCTCAAGGTAAATGCAGGCTTGGCACTGTGATAAATACATTTGCTATTATTTGTAAAGGCTACCATTACAAAACGATCTCGATAGTCCTGAGAATAAATCTTAATTTCACTAGTTCAAAACTCAATTTTGAAACCGTTTGCCCCCTCGTTCAGGGTGGCATTTGCAGAATTCAATCTGCACGCTCATATTGTTTCAATTTCGTAATGCACCATTTGCCTTGAGACATGAAGCTGATGTTTGTGATTGTGTCTCAGCTTGGAATCCACGAGGACTCTCAGAACCGGAAGAAGCTGTCGGAGCTGCTGCGCTACTACACCTCTGCCTCTGGAGACGAGATGGTGTCCCTCAAAGACTATGTCACACGCATGAAGGAGAACCAGAAGCACATCTACTACATCACTGGTATGGGACTGACAGGGTTAGAGGATGCAAAAGGGCCGTTATTACAAGCCACTAAGTGGTGGTGTCTAGAGTTATGGCTCAATAACAAAATTAAAACTGGGCATGGAACACAGGAGGCGGAGATCCAAAAAAGTAACAAGTTAATTATAAATGCGCAAAGGAACCACTGTTCTGATCACAAACAAAATGCTCAGATAAGCTGAGGTGCAGCAGCAGGACCTACTGGGCCAATGGATGGTGGAAATGGAAGTGAGAGAGAGCCTGGTCTGGATCCAGGCCCTTTATACCTCCCATCTGATTACTGCACAGGTGTGGGTGGGACTTCACTCAGCTGGAGGTGGGAGGATCTGACAGGTGGAGGCAAGAAACACAAAACCAAAGGACTTTATCCGCAACAGTCAAGAATACTGGATATATTTTTTCCTATGAAATCGTTTACCAGGGACTGCAGATGGAAATTAGCTGTTTAGCTATGATCTGTCTTTCAGCTCAATGTCTCTGTACATTGTCCCTTTAAATGAAATTAAACACATTTCTTTTGCACACTTATAAGCCATTGAATTCCAACCATTTTTGAGGGCTGGGAATGAGAAAGTCAATCCACTTATTCGCCCAATCTTAAAGTTTTAAAATGAGCCACTTCAACATTAAAGATGAGGTTCATAATATTCCAACTATAATGTGGAATTAAAATTGTTTTGGTTCTGTCATAAGTTTTAACATGCATGTCTTTTTCACAGAAATGTGTGAATTTCCTGCTGGATAGTTAACTATAACGTTCATCTATTCCCAGGTGAGACCAAAGAGCAGGTGGCCAACTCTGCATTTGTGGAGCGTCTGCGAAAGGCCGGACTGGAGGTGATCTACATGATTGAGCCCATCGACGAGTACTGTGTCCAGCAGCTGAAGGAGTTTGAGGGAAAGAACCTGGTGTCCGTGACCAAAGAGGGTCTGGAGCTGCCTGAAGACGACGATGACAAGAAGAGCTTGGAGGAGAAAAAGGCTCAGTTTGAGAATCTATGCAAAATCATGAAAGACATCCTGGAAAAGAAGGTGGAAAAGGTAAGGACGTCTTTACGTGACAATACACATGCTGATTAGAAACACTTTAGGGGACACAGCTTGACAACATAAACAACCATGACTTCTTCAACGGTGAAGTTATATGTATTTATAATAACATTTATAGTGTTTTTTATTTTTTAACTTCAGGTTTGCAATTAGTAAAATTTTGAAAAAATAATGGTAATAAAGTTTGAAAAGGTCCAAACAGGATTGGAAACGTCCTTTTGAAAACTACTTCAACTAATAATCAAATTGTATTTTTTTTTTTTTTTTTTTAGTCATCTGTATTGATTTTGATCATAAAGCATTGTATTGGAACGTATTGTCAAATAAAAGTTTTTGAGAAAAAAATATCAAAATGAAAAACTTTTAATAATTCATGTTATTATTGCACCTTACGTTTCCAGGAAACCTCAAAAGTGCTACAGATTAAATTAAAAAAAATCACCATTTGAAAGCCTAGGGAAATCATAAAGGGTTGATGTGAGCTCTTCTGGCCAAGGGGTTGCTTGTAATTTCAATATTATGCAGGCCCTTTACAGGTTTACTCCAATTTTCTAGGGCAAGGGTGAGAATTGGGACAGGGCTTTAAACTTGTCTCCTGTTTCCCAGGTCACTGTGTCCAACCGCCTTGTCTCCTCTCCCTGCTGCATTGTCACCAGCACGTACGGCTGGACGGCCAACATGGAGCGTATCATGAAGGCCCAAGCCCTCAGAGATAACTCTACCATGGGGTACATGGCTGCTAAGAAGCACCTGGAGATCAACCCTGACCACCCCATCATGGGCACGCTGCGACAGAAGGCTGAGGCGGATAAGAATGACAAGTCCGTGAAGGATCTGGTGATTCTGCTGTTCGAGACTGCGCTGCTGTCTTCTGGCTTCACGCTGGATGATCCACAAACCCACTCCAACCGGATCTACAGGATGATCAAACTCGGACTGGGTGAGACTTCTCTTCTTCATTCACACACACTATCTTGGTTTGAGCATCTAAGACCCAGAGAGGGATGGTCAAACAAGTTGGGGGGGGGGGGAACTATACCCTAATAATACAATGTATATAAGCCCACATGAAAAGACATTCAGATTCAAGTTTCATGAATTTGAATGTCTACAAAGTACAGTCAGCTATGCCTTGGTCTTTTCAGGACCAAAGGCTGATGTCTGTTCAGTTTTTTGTAATAAATGTCTTTGTCAAGAGAACACTTTAATCAAGTTTTCTGCATCATACTTTTCATATGGGATAGCTTGACATAAGCAGTCCACAAAGCTGCACACAGCCTTCTAGAACACTCTAGATGCTCAAACTGCACTTTTTTGTGATCAGGTATTGATGAGGACGACTTATCAACTGACGAGATCAGTGCCGCCCCCACAGAAGACATGCCTCCACTTGAGGGAGATGATGATGCCTCGCGGATGGAAGAAGTCGACTAAAGACGAGCTGGGCATGTAGATCTTTGTAAATTGTTGTTCCATGGTGTATATGAGAATCTCATGTTAAACTGTTATTTTTGACACCGTTACACTTGTCCTTAAACTGTCACTGTACGCATTCCATGATCAATCCCTCACTTTTTGTATTGATAACTTTTTTATTTATTTACGTTTTAAGGGTGTAATGGAACTGTAAATACAAAACACTGTTTAAATAAATTAAAGTCTGAATATTGAATATCAGCTGTTTGGGTTTGGTTTTTTTTATCCGTTAAATACAGTCAATTTGTGTATCTGTCTCATCGTTGTTACTTATTAAAGACATTGCTTAGATTAAATCAATTTCGGTGTGTATTGTCCATAATCACAACAGCATTAGTTTAAAAGGCATCATTCAAATCAATTAATTAAACTGTTAAGGCACCCAGATCTGTCAGAGGTGCAATTCCATTCATTAAAAATAACACTGCAATCTCAAATCAATAACCATTGATCCAATGTGCCTGTTTTCTTTATATTTCAACCAACTGCAAGTAACTTATTACTCGCAGTTAAACATTTGGTAAGAGTATTCCAATGAATGTGACTAATTGTCAACTTGATATTGAATAAGATAATGTTTAGTTAGAAATATTACCTTCATGTTATGAACAATATTTACATTTACATTAACTTTATAGCTGTTTTCTGCCCTTTTAAACCCTCACCAGCCAGTCAACAAGAACAACAGAACACAAGGTGGAGCACTCATGAAGATATTTTCTATGTTTCACATGTTTATCCAACAAAACACCATATGCACAAAGGAAGTTACTCAAGTTTGTCTATAGTACTGCACACCCAGTTAATAGCATGCATCCACAATTCAAAGAGAGGACTATGTTCATAAGGCATAACTCACTCCTGGCAGAACAACAGGTGAGGGGGGCTTCCACCTTATTGCAACAGTATTTTCTTCTGATAGCTCTGCATTGGGCCATGTTTAAGTACAGGATTAATTTCATATCAACACTCATAGGTTTTTGTGATGAGTTACACAGAAGGCACTCAAGTTTGAAAAGTCCTCTAGCGAAACCTTAACAAAATTTAGTTTACAATCTAAAGAATCCGATCCATGGTTATGTTGATTCTCCGCATTTATTAGCTTGAAACGTTCATCTCGTTTCAAGCTAACAAATGTATCTATTTGTAACTAGAAATGCATTTTAAGATACATTAAGGCCCGATTAATGTAGAGTACCACTATAAGTAAGTAAGCTTTATTTATAAACATGGAAAAAAGTGCAAAAGTTAAAGCTGTATTGTTACTTTTGAGAGGCACTGTACATATTACACTACTACCGCTACAGTTTCAAGAAAATAATTACTTTACTTATCCATCCATTTTCTTCCCCTTAATCCATTTCTGGGTTGGGGGGGGTGGCAGTCAGAGCTGCACCCAGTACACTTAGCACCAGCCCCTCACTGATCCTCCTGCAGGTGGTGAGTCCACAGGAGCTGAGATCTTTCAGTGGGAGCTTCAGGCAAAGTGGGGTTAAGTGTCTTGCCCAAGGACACAACGACAGCAGTCATCAGTGGGAGTCGTGAAGTAGGTCTTATGGTGGGCTTGAACCCACGACCTTCAGGCCCAAAGGCCAATGCTCTACCAACTGAGCTACTGTCGCCCGCTTTATACTTTACTTATATTGTCAAAAATGTAATTTCAAAGCTTAGAACATCTTGTTTCCAATGCTAAACCAGCTCTTGTGATGTAGTTGTCGAGTTGTATGGGGAGAACAGATATGTTTTGGCCCTGAGCTCCTTGAAGTCAGGTGTTTGTGGCATTAAGGTGCAGTGATATGGGAAATAAAAATATATGTGTTCGAATGAACTGTTATAATGTCATGAAATTTGTAATTAATTTTAAATCATATTGACTCACTATGGTTTATTATAGTGATTCAATATAATATGATTTAAAGCGTGTGCGTGAATCCCTTGCCGACCAGATAATCACTCTCAACAACGTCAGCATAGTACCCTGCAACACTGTGAGCTTCCAGCTTGTTCAGAATACAGCAGCAAGGATCTTAACAGGCACCAAAAGGAGGGAGCACATAACTCCGGTGTTAAAAACACTCCACTGGAGTGAATAAAGTTTAAAATTCTTCTTTTGTCATACAAAGCCATAAATAGTTTGGCTCCTTCTTGTCTTCAAGACATGTTGGTGTCATATCAACCAAGCCGAGCACTGCGCTCGCAAAACGCCAGACGTCTGGTGGTTCCTAAGGTCTCAAAAAGCACTGTCGGTGGCAGAGCATTTAGCTACCAAGCTCCTTTACTGTGGAATCAGCTTCCCATCCACGTTGGGTTTTTGTGAGTTTTTCTTTGCCGATGCAGGAGGGTCTGTTGGGCAGTTAGTGTCCAACTAGAAGGACTGTGGTGATGATCCAGGACACTTTAACATTCTACAACATGTATGGATATTTATCAACATTCATGGGCATTGGTCTCTCCCTATGGACCAATTTATATGTGTATATTTTGTGTCTTAACTGTTGATTCTCTGATCTGTGTTGGTGATTCCAATGGTCTTTGTCCTCTGAGATGACTTCTGTTGTGATTTAGGGCTATACAATAATAAGTCATTGTTGTTAAGGAAGCAGACACGATCTCTACATTCAAGGCCAGGCTTAAAACACTCTTCTTCAATTTAGCATATGATTAGGTTGTTTGTCCGGTCAGGTCGTCTGTCTGGTCTTGGGGTCTGCTTGTATGGGACCTGGTCTGCTGCATCTTCAACCCTACACTAAAACAGTCCTCTTCAGTTGAGCATATTGTTAAGAAGGTAAGACTCAGGGAAGGCTAAAAATCAGTCAAGCTGCATTGGGAGTTAGTTTGCTGGGAGAAGTATGGTAACTTGAGCACAGTCCTCTCCTCCTTCCTACTTTATCTGTCTGCATTATTAGGACTTTGACTGTAGTCTGTTCATTGCTATTCACCCGTTGCCCCATTGTCCGTTTCATGGTGCGACGACGGGACCTCGGAACCTGGCCTTCTCCATCTACCCCTATGGACTGCCCTGCCCTGCCCGACCCGCTTGGGAACTGCTTCAGTCCTGCACCGGACCTATCCACGTTCAGCGGCCGCTGGTCCACGTTCTGTAGCTTAGGTCCTGGATCTATAGCCCGTCCGTCCGTGTGGAGCGGATCCCTCTCTCAATATGTGGGTCTCCCTGAGGTTTCTCACTTATTTCCCGCTGGTTTTTTGTGAGTTTTTCCTTGCCGATGCAGGAGAGTCTGTTGGAAAGTCTTTGTCTAACAAAAAGGACTGTGGTGATGATCCAGGACACTTTAACATTCTACAACATGTATGGACATTTATCAACATGTGTTCTATATTCTTTATGTGTTTTAACTGTTGATTCTCTGATCTGTGTTTGTGATTTCGGTAGTTTTGTTAAGTCCTCTGAGATGACAACTGTTGTGATTTAGGGCTATACAAGAATAAATTATATTGTATTATATTGTGTTATAGTAAGATGATTTCTGCAATTTCATTTCATATTTCATATTTAATGTTTAATTTTTTGGCAATACGAGAAATATTGGGAGAAAGCTGCTAATCCTACATTGGCTTTTCTTAAACCAGGCAAAAACACAAAACATTTTGCTCACATTGTAAAACTATTTTTGAAACATTTTGCAACAATTTACTTCTTTAAGCTTTTAATCCGGTTACAACATAGTTTCTCATCCGTTGCAGACCTGGAGCTGTTTTTCAATCCATCCATGCTATTATCAGTAACTTCAGGGACAATCATGTAATCTGCCCTTTCCGTAGAATGCTGTAGAATGCCCCACACAGCAGAAAACGCTCAGAGCAGTTTTTAACATTTTTCAGTCAAAGATATTTGCAAGTTTTCAGTGGAAATTATAGTTGTTACAGTTTGGCCGGTAATTTTTACATAAATAAAAACGTGATATTTTATAAAGCAATGTCTCATTTTATTTTTATTGAGAAAAATAATGCATAATATATTGTTAAATTTTCATATTTGTTGATAAATTAATAGCACGATACGTTACTGTTTATATACCATGTCTATTGTTTTCATATAATCTCTACTTTCAGTGTTTTGTTTTATACTGGGGATTTCGGCGACTTTTCCTACGCCTGGTTACGTGTGTTGTAGAAAATCTGGCAGCGCCGGTGCTTCGGTAGAGGAGCAGCGGAGAGAGGAGCGTCCAAGGGCGGCTACGTCTGCAGCAAAATGCCGAACAAAACTAAAAAGGACAAGGTGAGTTGAACGGGCTGCAAACGGAAGGATGCACCCAGAAAAACCACAGGCGCTGGCCGTGTTTGTCTGAATATCGATGTGAAATGTTGGCTTGTGGAAGTGTTTAGTTACCGTTAGCATCTTAGCTCCTCTGCTAGCCCCTGTCCTACCGTTGTGCTTCAGGTTTACTGCTAGTTTCACGGCCTATTATTGTTATAAAAAATGTCATTTCTCATACCAATGCTTATTTTTGCCTCTTTGAAATTATTTAACAGTAATATGAAAAACTTTACCCAACTTTTATACTTGGATTGTATTGGAAAATTGGGTTCGTGAAAGCTTGTAGTTGAACTGTTAGCTAGCAGTGGTCTCTGAACAGGGGGTCTGCAAATTGCAATAAATATACAATTTAAATAATTAGTTATGGACGCTTTAAAGATGAATAGTAGCATTGTCATTGTAATATATAAAAACACATTGTTCCCTATTAAAATCTGATTTAAGAGAATGTTGTGTTAGAAATATGAGTTGTAGTAGTAGTAGTAGTAATAATCTTTATTTATATACCGCCTTTTCACTGCAGATCTGAGTCTCAAAGCGGTTACAATTGTTGTTTTTGGGCATTTGTCTCTCACTCCACACAGAGATAGGTACAGGGGCGCCAGTACAGGAGGTGCATGCCAGATCTATTGTGCATGTTTTTAGTGGTAGGGGAAACCGGAGTACCCGGAGGAAACCTACAGACACGGGGAGAACATGCAAACTCGACTCAGAAAGGCCTTGGTCCAACCGGGACTGGAACCCAGGACCTTCTTGCTGAGAGGCGAGAGTACTATCCACTCAGCCACCGTGCCGCCCGTAGTGAAAGAGAAGGTGTGACAACCTAAAGCCTATATTGTATGTGACAACCTATATTGTATGCATCTGATTTATTAGACTTCTACTACCTAAAACACAAAGGGCTACTATTTATTGTCATTATTAGATATTTGGGGTCGAAACGATCAACCAAGTTAATGTATTCAGTTATAAAATCCCTTGATTATAATATCACTGGCCCTTTTCACACTGTAGAACCGTGTCAACAGTATGTATGGGACGCAGGTCTTTTTAGGTTAGGATTTTAGGAGGAAGCGTTCACCATCAATGCGCTGTGTACAAGACTAGACAAATAGCAATAGACTACTTATAGACAAAAGGTATCTGTGCTTGTTTGTCAGAGCCAGCAGATCCAAATGTGAAGGCTGATGTGGCCTTTGCACTGCTCATGTCACAGCTGCTTGTGTACAAAGTTCTAAAGCTAACATATAATGTCTACAAAATGCTAATTCGTCATTTTTTACATTTGAATAACTCTACAAAGTTCAACCTTAGTGACTGGAGGAAATCTCAGAATGGCTTTAGACCTGTCTATAAAAACCGGAGATCATGTTATGTTCAAGTGGTCTGTTATTATTTGCGGTACACTTTTTCATATCCTTTATTCTAAATATCTCAACCTTCTAAAAATGTTCAACTTATTTCAACCTTGACGTACCTGCGGCTCATGCGTCTGACATGCTGCAGGTGCAGGACGTCAGTACAGCAGTACATTTGACAAATTGCGTGAGTATAGACAGTTCGTAGTCACTAATGATAACCGACGATGGTAAACTGTGATAGACATCTGCATGCATACTTTCTGTGGCCCCCTCACACTTTTGAACTTTATCCTGATATTGTTTTGTAAAAATGCGGCTCATTAGTGTGTGCTTAAAAAAAAACATGTGCCAATGCATGTGCCAAAGAGTACGGTTTATTTGTAACTAAAACACATGACATTGATAAATGTAAGGAAATCATTCAAAGCTGATCTAATCACAGCCAAATGCTACGTTGTCTCTGTTCTGATCTGTTATATTAACAGTTTATCTAGAGCCTACGATGGTTTATTGCAGGTCAAAAAATCACACACAATCAGTTACTTTTTACTATGGCTGATATGAATTGGAACTGATGCCTACGTTGGATTCTGTTCTACCAAGCACAGATTGGCCATAGTCAGTGGGTCACCGTGATGAACACTCACCACTCGCTGCTCCCAGGACCAGAGCCCAAAGCTCAATCAATCTACCCTGCCAACTGTAGCCAGATAATTCTAAATTAAATGTTGAATTTATTTGTTTTTACAATTTTTTTTATTGTAAAAGCTGCTGTTTTGCAGCACCACAAAGTGCATACATATTTGAAGATCATATTATAACTTTGCAGCAGCATATTTTTAAATGCATTCTAAAATATATGTCTACAGCTGTGGACCTGTGATAGTGTTTGACAACATGAGTAAAGGCAGCAACTTTTCTTTAAATAAATGGGCGAACAGCTGTTTAATCTGCAAACTGCTAAAATTCTTTTTCCCTCAAAACCCCAAAATAAACAACACATCTTCACCTTTCATATTCGCCCTTTCATTGTTGGTGTTTTCAAATAGAAATCCTTGGACTTAAAAGGTATTTAGGGAGATGTTTCTATCAATATAAAATGTAATGTGTTCAGTCAAACCTGGATATTTGACTGTCAATCCATCATTGTGCTCAGCTCCAATCACCATCCTCTTATGCCGTGCAACTGAGCTGACCAAACATGCTTAGTGGATCGTATAGCATCCAAGACCAGTTCTTCAATAAATGTATATCCAATACAATCTGCTAATCTAAGTTGTAAAAAAGCAAATGTGTGTAATAACTACATTTGATTGTAGTTATTACACACATTTGCTTTTTAACAACTTAAATCCTGCATGTTTTTGTGTTTCGATCTAAATTTGAAATCTTCTCAATTAGAAGTGGGAGTTGATATTCATCTTTCAATCGCTACGAGAGGACCGGTATTCAGACTTTGGAGACCACTAGATTAAATCAAAGACAAACGGCCCTAAATAAAACCTGATTTTATAGCCACATGTGCCAATGACTGCTGAAATATATGTAGTAAAATGTAATAATCTAGCGTAAACATCATGGAACAGGGAGTGGAAAAAACAAGACCAGATACTATGGACACAATGCTGATCGTAAAAGGCATTATGTCGGGTCAGTTTTATGGCTGGACCTTGGGCCTTTCTCATTCATAAATATGCAGTAGTTGATGTTTCTTGTTCTAAAACGTTCTTCCCACCAATGACATCTGTGATCTCTTAGCTTTCTGTAGTGACTAAGGTGAAACCAACTCTTAACTTTACATGCATAGATTCCTCACACAAAATATGTATTTTTTTCTTTCTTTATATTGTTTGTTTGGCTTTTTAAAATACTTTCTTTCGGTTTAGTATGCATTTATAAAGTATATAAACCTGTACGCATAGCTGGGGCTGTATTAACTGCCATTTAGCTCATTGATAAGTGTGTCATGTATTTTGTGTGTCTCTGCCATAAAAGCTTCTCACTTTGTTTTGGTCTGTGGATTAAAAAACAAAGAATTGATTACTAAACTCTACCAACTGAGCTGCCACTGTCCTCTATGTCGATGTTCTCTGAAACGAAACAGAACTGTACAGACATTGAAAATATAACGCATGTTGGGCCTTATGTGGAAGCTCTTCCTTGTGGAGTGCCCTAAAGACGAGCCGTGCAACTTTGCTAAAACTAGAGCGGCCCGAGAAGCAGAGGTGCACATTATCCTGATCTGATTCCAAGATTATCCTAATCTTTCAAATTAGAATTTTTTTTTTCTTAAACCACGTAATCAAATTAATAACATTTCTGTCCAAGCCCCCGTTTTTTTTAAGTACTATATATTGCTGATTTAATCTACTGACTTCTTTTCAGGATGCACCCAAGACGAAAGGAAACAAGAGCGGAGGCCAAGAGAATTCGGAGCACGAGGTCAGTTTGTTGTTGTTCTCATTACTTCTTTGTCTAGTGAATCGCGAGTCTGTCGCCAAAACCACTTGAGAAGATGTGTTCATTTTTGTGTGCGTCGGGAAAATTTCAAATGGACAAGGGCAGCAATTTATCAATTAAAAATAAAAAACAGAAATTGTACTTCCAAGCTATAGCAAACTAGATTGGAACTGAAAATATGTCTAGTATTGAAAGTATTTGTTTTGTTTTTGGTAAAAGAGGTACCGTCCCATTCCTGTTTGTCAGTACGGCTGCTGCTGCCGGGTAACAGTCTTTCAACTCCTCCAAAGATTTTCTATGGGATTGAGATCTGGAGACTGGCTAGGCCACTCCAGGACCTTTAGATGCTTCTTCGAAGCCACTCCTTTGTTGCCTGGGCGGTGTGTTTGGGATCATTTTTATGCTGAAAGACCCAGCCATGTTTCATATTCAATGCGCTTCATGATGGAAGGAGGTTTTCCCTCAAATTCACAGTCCATGGCCCCATTCACTCTTTCCTTTACACGGATCAATCGTCCAGGTCCCTTTGCAGAAAAACAGCTCCTAAGAGAGATGTTTCCACCCCTTGCTCCATAGTAGTTATGGTGTTCTTGGGGGCAACTCTGCATTTTTTCTACAAACAATTTTCAGTCTCGGAACACCCTAAATTTCTGGAGAAATTTAATAGCAGCTTCCGATAAATCAAGTGGACCCATAGACTGTATATATTAATGGACAGAGTCACGCCTATCTCCGCCGTTTATAGGAGTTGGCCATGAAAAGTGCTTTCATGGAGCAATCCAAGATGGCCGCGAGTGGTCCCGCCCACAAGAAAATTGTGAAAAAACGCATCTGCGCATGCGTCGGCTGGCGCAGCTCCATTCATTTGAACGAGAGACTTCAAAAATTCCCCGCGAGTGGACCAAAAAAAATCACCCCCCTCAGCATTGACACACATGTGGAACGGAGCTTTGGGCCAAGAGCCAACTTTTGGTCCATCCTGTAAAGACGTTTTTGAGAGGTCTGCTAACGCTATATGTTAGCATTGGCTAATTCTTCTTCTGGGTCCACCCCCAACGGCCCGGGGTGGTATTGCAAGCATGTCAGCGCACGTCATTTTGGCCACTTTTGAGCCGGGACCCGCCCCCATTGAGTGGACCTCATACTTTACTGGTACGTTTTATTCATTTTAATTACTTAACGGCCAATAATTGGGCTCAATAATGCCAGTAACAGTAAAAGGTTGTAAATATCACTCTATAAAACCAGGACAAATTTTCTCTCTTAAGATACGTTTGATAGGACGGAGAGTGATAAGCAATGAGATATTCAAACAAATAGGAAATACACCCCAAAGACAAGTCTTTGCTCAACCTTAGCTTCAATAGTGAAAATAGTGTCAGTGCTGATGGTAGCAGCTGCTGTCATCTACAGACCGTTATCCACCGACTGTTTTATTCAGACAATAATAAAACGCAACGCTTGGAACTCTGACTTCTGGACTCTTGGACCGTGCTCTGTCTGGATATAATCTTTCTTAATGTGTGTGTGTCTACTGCTTAAACATGAGTTTGCAGCGTTTTCAGTCTGGTTTTATCAATGCAGTTTGTTGTTTTTTTGGACACAGTTCAGTGTTTGTTTACAAGTACTACGGTGGCCTTTTCTGAAAAAAAAAAACAAACAAAACCTTCTAAATCAAGACCCATGGTAACGGAATAAAATAGATATGGCAAAATGAAAACCTGGGCATAAACTTTCCCCACCTCTCTTTTAAGCTTTTTGCTCAGCGGGCGCCTTCTGCACACAAAACCCTTAATGTAGACGCTTTCTATACATCTCTATACCTTTCTATACCACCTGACAAAAAAAGGGCATTATAATCTGAGAATTACGGCATATTGCAACACCCCCTTTTGTTTTGTCTAATGTCCGGACTTTGCCACACTTTTACATTGGTATTGTATTGAAGATTCTAATTTAGTTATACCTTCATGTCGACATTCTTGTGCCTTGTGTTTTCTTTAAATTGTAAATGCAATACTTATTGCAATGTTGCTGTTTTGGTTTAGAGCTCCAACAGGAAGAACAGTAACAGTGCCCCTCCCACCACTCAGTTGCTGAAGGGGAAGCAGCCGGGACCCCAGACCCCCCTGAAGAAGGACAAGAGGCAGAGCTCATCACGCTTCAGTCTGAGCAACAACCGCGAGCTGCAGAAACTTCCAGCCTTCAAAGGTATTTATCTCTGCTCATGGACACGCAGTCCAGTATGTCATGGCCCTGTCTTGAAAAAAAGTTCAGGATGACAGGGACACTAAAATCCCCACAAAATCCGTCCAATGTGAAAGCTTTAGGTTCTGTCAGCTGAGGTCTTAGTTTACAATGAGTTCTATGAAGACAATTTCTGGGTAGCCCACAGCAAGTAAAGCTCTATCCACATGTTATAATAGACCCATGGTGCATCTAGGTCCGACGCACATAAAAGACCCACCTCCAGCCATGGACTCCTGCTAGCTCACTTCACTCCTGGCCCTGGACCTGAGCACCCACACTTTTTTGGCATTAATAATAATAATAATGCATCAGTTTTATATAGCGCTTATTTGGACACTCAACGACTCAAAGACACTCCGACCACCACCAACCATTCACACACACACCAGACTCATTCTAGGCAGTGCTCTACCAACTGAGCTACTGTCGCCCTAGTTAGTCTACTTTGCATTCAAAACCGTGTGAGGATCAGGGTTGAGATTTAGTGGGCATCGGTTCTGTTGGTTGCCCGCCTGGTGCACGTGCCACTGTCTGAATTTGCACTTTATCTCTTGTTGATTTCTGACTTAGGTATGTTTGTTGGTAGAAAAATGGTGAACATCTTCAACTTTTTTCATTCTCCTTCCTGAGGAGTTTTTATCCCAGTGCACAAAGGACCAGTTGATTGAAATTGGAAAGTGATATGAAATTGATATTGACACAAAGCGGAGCAAAGACAATCTACAACATTTATCTAGCAACATACAGATAGCCAATCTCATGAATCAAAGAAGAAAAGACACATGCTTCATTGCCTTCTTCAGGCCCATCAGCGGTATCACCTTTAACTTGAACAACAGCTGAGGTTATAAGAATTGCAGCATGTTTTGCACACCCCTATACCTTTTTCAGGTGTCTTGTGCATATGTAACTGCTTTTTGTTTTCTCATTCCTGCTGTACTTTACGTCCCCTATAGTCTTTTCAAGTTGAAAAGCTTGCCTCTCCGCTTTCCATGTAGGCTGCTGCAACTGATTTCAGATATTTGCCCATTTTTGCTACGCAGTGATGTGGCTATCAATCATTAAACAGTTTTTGACAACACCCAGAGCTGCCAGCCACAGGTGAATTTCCCATTTCTCTTTGGTTCCAAATGAATGTTGTTTGGACTGTGTTGTTTGCATCATCCATGTGGACTCTAAGCTGAGGAGGTGGTTACATAACGCTGGGAAACAGACAGTGGACGTACATGAAGTGGACTTAACCCCGGCTGCTAAATTTAGTGGTAATCCAAAGATAAAGCTTTAATTCCGCGCTCCTTGTGTCCAGGACGTGAACAGATAAGCTGCGCTCCTTCTGTAACAGTGAAGGAGACGGTTTGTTTAATCAAATCCTTCATATTTACTGTTTGACATGAAACTAAAGCTCTGTATTTGTGCTGGATTAGTCTTACCTATTCAAGTGAGTTATTGAAAAAATGGGTGTGGCCATAGTGATTGGCAATTCAAATGGGGGGTATCACATGAATGTTTACAAAGCATAAGAATACGCTAAAGAATTTGAATGTTATTTGGCTTTATTCCCAAACCAGTCTGACCCTTCTAGTCCCAGTATATAGTGTTGGTGAAATGAGATACTTGACATATGTCAAGCATTTACTTGTTTTCAGTCTGATTTTTTTATGGCTTATAGCTTGTAAAAAAGAGACGAGAATATTGTGAAAAAATACATTGTTGGCACAAAGTGTTGCCCAGCCATCTGCTAATTGAACTAAACACCTGCAGAGGGTGCCTCAGACTTTAAATGGTCTCAGTCTGGTTCAGTGAAATTCAGCATCATGCGGAAGACTGCTGACTTGACAGTTGTGCAGATAACCGTCATTGACTTTCTCCGTAAGGAGAGGAAGCCTCAAAAGGTTAAAGCAAAAGAAGCTGGATGTTCCTAAAACTGCTGTATCAAAGCACACAAATAGAAAGGTAAGAGGAAGGAAAAATTGTGAAAGAAAAAGGTTCACAAATCACAAGCTGTATAAACGAGTTGAGGTGAACATTTCCCTCGCCCTGGCAAATTGCACCCTAATAATACAGTATGTACCTACATAAAAAAGACAGACATTCAGATGTAAGTTTCATTTACATAAAAGAAATGTAGAAAACTCTGCCAAGTGAAGGCAACAGAGATGTGATTTGGTCCAGGATTAAACTGGTTTGTTTGATACAAATCAAATCGCGAGTGTTCTTTATCAAATAATATATGCCCTGTCAATATTTAATGGGCCCTGGGCATCTTTGGACTATAAAAATGACGCATTAAGTTAAATAGGGTAAGACTCCTTGATATATCCCATATTAGGGCTGCAACTAACGACTTTTTTAATAGTCGACTAGTCACCGACTATTGAAACAATTAGTCGACTAATCGGATACATTTTTTTTCTTCTTAAATTTAGCATGAAGTTGCTTTAATTATGTGGCAAATGACAACAAACACAAGAAAGATGGGTACTTCAATGAATGCATCTTTTATTCTACTTTGCTTCTGGTTCATACAAAAAGTAAATAAAAATGTCCCATCTAAGACCAATTTGGCACAGTGCTTGGTCAGTATTGCTTCTTAATTATTTTTGGCCATTTTAGATACAGGAAATCATTGTGCGCCCTCCTCCTTCCATCTTTTGAGCTAAAAAAAAATCCACTCTTAGCCCAAAAAAATTAATTATTGACTAACATGGTTCTTTCTTAATTATGCAAAATAACATAAAAACAAGACTTCTATTTTTGTTGTTGTTGTAATAATTATTTATTTTATGTTTGGGCACTACCAAGATGCATTATGAATGCAAGGGAAATTTAGGTACCCCAGCTTTAATGTAGTGACTTTGTTTCAGGGCTACAGGAGGAGACACAAGGGACACTTCCAGAGGCTCTCATAGTTCAGCTGTATTTCTCACAGGGGTGTATATATTGTGTCCACAGGTTGCGCTAAGATCCGCGCTTGTCCTGTCCGCGCTGGTCACATTATGGCTTCGCTTTGGCCGTGCGCTCGCCGCTCTGTTTTCAAAGCAGCTTCACAGAACCGCTGTCATTCACTACTATCCAGACTACAATGCTCCCAAACTTTAGAAGTTTTTCTACACGGCGCTGATGAGCGCCACCATTACTGTTTACGTTTCCGCTCGATAGACGCTCTTGCGCATGTGCGACTCCCGGCAGAGATTGTGAGACGGGAGATGCCTCACTCTGTGGGAAAAACACGTCTGGCGACAATGGTCGACAATGGAATTCATTGTCGACTATTTCTATTATCGAGTTTTGTCGACGTCGACAAATCGTTGCAGCCCTATTCCATATAAGAACACTTTTGGCAAATGTTTGATGCTCACACAGACTGCAGTTGAGCAAGTCCATTAACACAATGTTTTCTGCTTTTACTTTTTTCTTCTGAAACCCAAAACAATGAAACGCATGCAGAGGGATTGGGAATTCTGTCCCCTGTCAGTCTCCAAATAAATACATTATCACATGAGCATTGCTTTCCCCTGTGCTCTTAAATGCATCTGCTGGCCTTGTCTCAGTAGTAACTGGTTTACATTAGGGCTGAAACAACTAATCGATTAATCGACGACTAATCGATTATTGAAATAGTCGACAACTATTTTAGTAATCGATTAATCGTTTTCTAGTTCACACGGACTCAAACAGAGCAAAAATGACATGAAAATGTAGTATTTTTGATTAAAACCGACTTTGTTTTTATAATTTCATGAATATCTGTCTGTCTCATCCAATCAGATAGCAGAATTAGCACAAAGAGCCTGTTACAAACATTTACTTTAAGTTTACGCCATCAATACGTCCTCGAGTGTTGCCACTTTAGCTTTTTGTGATGAAAAAATATTTTTTTTCTACACAATTCACAGCCAAGCGATTACTCGATTAATCGTAAAAATAATCGATAGATTAATCGATTACAAAATAATCGTTAATTGCAGCTCTAGTTTACATAGTTGCATGCTGGCGAGAAACGCAGTGGTTTTGCTAATCTCAAACACAGGTTTACTTGTGTGTCCACCGTTTTTCACTTTAGAATATCCCCCAGTGGCTTCACTTAAAAATGTTCTGTGTCAAATTTGAGATAGAAATAACATGTGTATAAAATGCAGCATAAACTCTAGCATGAAGTCATAAACTAAAAGTTGACCAGTGAGTTGCTGAAGCGCTGAAGAGAAATTACGTCACACTTCTCCAGACTGGGTTTTGTGCATTGGCACTTTCCTCTCACTGATATCGTCCGTCACATTGGTCATTCCTGAAGAGTTTGCATTCAGCATGAATGTTATCGCTGGGTCTTGTTAAAACAAGCCCAGTGTTTTCATTCCGATCGTGTTCACCTCCTCCTGCTCCGTGCCCCCAGGCCACTCAGGACTGGATCCTAGACTAACTTATAACATATGCGAAATATAAATATTAGGGCTGCACCTATCCGCCATGAATGCGATATTCAATAGTCGCACCGTTTTTAGCTCTCATTTTAATTATTTGTTTGTGCCATGTTGTGCTTTCTGTGTTACATTTTACTACCACCAAAATCAATTCAAGGGACAGTATGTATTGTGCCCTTTTAGTGGTCTTAAAGCAATTATACAACTATTTTTGCTAATCACTGATTACGGACTTTTGGAGTTTAGCTAGAAACATAGAAACTCGGTGTGTTATGTACTACTATTTTTTTGTAAAAATATCGGAATCATGTATCAGTTTTTTCACTTCACGCTCATCTTACTTTTGTGTGAATTTTCAATAAAAAAACAAATATTTTTTTGTAATATGACTAGTGTTTTGAGTGGCACTGTATATTCTCCTACAACAGAAGCCGTTGCTCCTCTGACCACATACAGTGGTACAGTGGTAGAGGACAATCTTGAGGTCATGAATCCAGTGAAATTAGTCGCACACCTTTTTACAGTAATAAGTTACAGCAGATC